CAATTCTACTTTACCCATCTTCCTAATTCTAACCCCACTTTTACCAACAATACCCCAACATCCTCGAATCCTTCAATTTCAAACCCTATCTATCATGTTCCAATGAATATATCCTGAATAGTCCCTTAACCCTTAACACTCCAGATGGTATTGCAATCTATCAGGAACTGCAACTAATTTTTATAGTATCTCTAGTGAAAATGAATAATGCTTTAACATTCTTTCGATCTTTTATTTTCCTTCTCAGTGCGAAATTTGGGTGCGTGGAAAATCCGATAATTTTAGAGTAGTTTCTTTGATTCGTTAAAATATTTGATATAACTGGCGCAATATTAGAGCCTACGGAGTTCAAAGAGTTAAAAGTCTTATTATCAGCAGCCCGATCTACACCGCGTTAAATACGAACTAAAAGGCTCGCTATCGGGCGGCCAGCCCGACACCGTGCGCGCGAGAACAACGAGCGAGGGAGAGCGTGAATTCCGTCGTTTCCCGCGGCAAAGAAGAAAAGCGGGGGTGGTGTCCGGCGCGGCGTCCGCGGTCCTTTGACGCGTCTCGCCGCGATAACCCCCAGAGGCCGACCTCACACGGCAACTGGCCTTGTTTCGGCCGCCTTTGACGGGATTTTATCACGGAACTGGCCCGGCGACGGGCACACAGCTCGCCGCGATAACGTTCCGCCGGCCACTACCGACTGCACGACAAATTCGCGCGATCTGGAAATCGTTTCCGTGCGACGCGCCACGGAGGACGCGCGCGGAATACAGAGTTCGCCGCCCGAGTCATCTCGCGCCCTCTTTTTCCCCTCTCCGGGGCACTGTCACCGGATCCGGATTATTGTTTCGGGCGTCACGTAGCCGGAGCTTAGGCACGCGTGCCGCGCGAACAATTCACGGGGAATACGAAAATTGCTGAACCGATCCGGTCTCCCTTGGATCGGTTTCCCTTGGATTCCGACTTATTCCCTTGGCGCTGCCTTTCCGCGGAGTCTCAGAATAGAGACGGCGCTCCTGGGGTTTATTAACGGTAAAACTGTCGGGTATTGATTTCCCCTTTAGCTTCTCATGGAGATTACGATTTAACGAGGTTTTCGTTCAATCGTATTCCAATTTGTGTATTATTATGAGTCGCTGGGAAGCCAATGCGGCTGAACCCGGAAAAAAAAATTGAGATCAACTTAATGGATTCTGAAATTATCAGAGAGTCTGAGCTGGAGAAGACGAGGGACGAGTGGATCCTTTAATAGCTGAAAAGAGTATTACTTGTTCGATCGACGTTTACGAAGATCAGGAAATATCAAGAAATGGACTTAACCCCTTGGCTACTTTGTCATTAATAATTTATTGGAAAAGTCCTAAGCATATTATGCCTATATTTCCTTTTAAGTATCATAATTGATTACAGAGGAATAATATTTACTTTGAATCCAAATGTGCTAAGTAATATAAGTATTTGTTGAATCATGTTGAAAATTTTCACGAGTCTCACTCGTTGTTGTAGGGCAAGGGGATAAACGCGTTGGCTACTGAGCGACTCAAAGGTCGCGACAAAAAAGTTCTGAGTGTTTCAGACAATTTTTGAGGATTTAGGAGTGTAACGTGATTTCGGAATCAGTGAGTAAGATTGAAATCTATCGGATGCACGAGTTTCTTGCATTGTGTTCAAACAATGCGTTTGTTAATTGGACTAAATATGAAATAATGTTGTACCTCGTCTCTTCACTGTTCGGAAATGTGCGCGTGAAGTTTCGTTCAATAAACGCATCTCCGTTTACATCGTCGACGTTACAATTTGATAATGGTGTTTTACATTTAAATAATGCAGCCGGCGCGATCGCTGTCAGGTTTGATAGCCATTCGACGCAACGGGGAAATTCCAAAGAGAACGTGACACGTCAAACCAAATTTCGAACTTGATCGGAAAAGAGAATTTACTCCGAAACAACATAATTTGTTGCTGTCGCGGTAACGTTCTCCATTTTCAGCTTTATGAAAGGAAAAACTTGATGAACACGGTATGCAACTCTTCGCGAATCAGGAAAATCTGTTCAGAAACTTCGAACGAACGTTACTTCGCAATACGCGAATGAAAAGTCAACATAATTTACAATAAATCTTCAAATACAATTATGAAGAATAAATTAAATATCCGATGATCTCGTGTATCCTCTCGCAAGTATGTAAACTCGATCAACGGTCGAAACTGTAATTACCGTATTCGATTAGGATAGATTTCGTTACGATATTATTGCTGGCGAAACGCGGATGTTTACGTCCATATAGATTTTCTACGCTAATGTGCATAACTTGTTTATCTTACCGTGGATTCCATTCCATGCACGGTAATACCAATATGGCGGCATTCGTCCGTAAAACGTTCGCGAAATTTCAGCTGCGCATTACTGTCGTGATGTTAAAAGAAATTCCACTGTCGGGCAGGTAGTTAAGAATTTATTCCACAGAAATAAGTTATAAGAAAGAACACTGAACATTCGTTAGTGCGTGTTTAGTATCCGCGAATGTTTGGCAAACAATTGAAGGAACTAATTATGCCATGCACGGAGAAGGGGATTCTGCGATGTGTGCAATGCAGTTTATCGGATGACCTTCGGAGAAACTATTCTCGTAAAATCGGGCTACGTGCATATGTCTTGCTTCACCGGAAATCTAATAAACCCAGGAACGTCGTATTAGTGAAATTCATGCCGCTAATGCCAGCCTTTAGCATACCAGTGTGTTGATTAATGCGCGCTGTGCGGTTGATTCCGTACCGAAAACCATCGCGTTCAATTTATTTCATACATAATATACGATTTCAATGTAGGTGCAGTCCGTTATATACAGTTTCCAGGAAGAGATAAGTGGCATTAGCTGAAACAGTATCAGCTGAATTCATGATGCAGGGATTGGTTTGTAGATATAGAAATTCAGAGAAAAAATGTCTACGAAGAACTTTATCGTATTCTAAAGAAACTTATCGAACTTTTCAAAAGAAATTCATTGCTACGTAACTCGTAGAAGACTGAAAATATCAATAAACACGCAAGATTCATTAACACTAGGTTTACGGACGTTTATTGTCCGGTTTATTCTATTGTTCCTAGAAAAATTGATGTTCGACCATTTAGATCTTGGAAATTAGGGATTTAAAATTAGGTTATTACGATACGTATTCTTGTAACTGCATCAACGAAAACCGACATAAACGTTTGCCAAGTAATGTTTATAGATTCAGTATGCGTCAAATTGACGCACTCCGTAAACCTAGTGTTAATACGGATTAATCAATAGATGATCACCGATTTCTCTACAACACGTTTTTCCATTTCTTTCCATTTTAAACTAACCATCGCCAAATCGATATTCATTATCCTAAAGGTGTTCCACATCGTACGAGAATTTTACCTCGAAAACACGTTACACGTTTGCGAATTATACGCGGTCAACATCGTGTTAAAATAAACGAATTAAAGCGACGAGAGAAATATTTCTCCAATTAGACGTTCACGAGTACAGTGCAAAAACGCTGACAAACATCAAGCTCGCAATGTAATTTTCCATTCGAAAATATTGACGGAAATCGTGTAGAACATCGAACAATGCAATGTAGACGACGGGAAACAAAAGGCAGCAACGTACACGCGAGCAGAAACGTTCGGGCTGTCATTTTAACTGGCTAATGGAAAACGTCTGACCGCTGTTACCGCGGTGGAAATTACGCGGAGTGATTCGTTGATCGAATACTTTTATTTACAAGTGATATTTGCGACGACAGTCTGCCCCGACGGCCGATAAATAAATTAATGAGGCCGAGTTAAATATTCGATCGCAGGGGTCGCGGCCGCGCGGAGCAGAGCCGCGCGACGACTTTTTCTCCTTCATCCCATAATTACTATTTTTCTCTCCGTTTCCAACCCTCCCACCGACCACCTACACAGCCCCATAGGCAAATAAAGTTCGCCCGGTTACGCCGGCGGAACCTGCTTTCACGGTAAACTTTCCTCGTGGCTTGTTTACGCTGTTGTCCGTCTGGATAAACTCTGTCCCGGCTCCCTTTGTCCATGAATTGATAATTGTAAGCATCGCTAATGACGACGGAACGTTTTTCAATTCTCGCTGCGTGGCCACCACGGTTGTAGCTTATCGTTTATCTTCTATTTAACAGTCGCCGACCGTAGGAACACCACTTCGCGCGGAAAATCGAAGATTAAACGCGATTCCGATGGTAATTCCCCTTGAAAAATGCGATTCCCAATATCGTTTGTTCCGCAATCTTTTTTTCTGGATACGACATTAGCAACGAAGTTATCTTGCTTCGACGATTCTCTAAATCTTGAAATTTTTAGAAATTGAAGATTAACACGTTGAACGCAGCACGATTTCATAGAGCAAAATACACAAAATGGAAAAAGTACAATATTAAATCGTTTCACTGAATTGGATTATTATCGTTGCACGTTCATCAAACTGAATGTCACCGCATTGGATAGCATTATTTGTAATATAGAAATGTGTGCGAATAATCATCGTTTCATTGAGTGAATTATAGTAATTCGATTTGCTTGCGGGTCACCGGTGACCTCCATGGCATTCAACGTGTTAAACGTGTTGATTCCCGATGGTAATTCCCCTTGAAAAATGCGATTCCCGATATCGTTTGTTCCGCAACTTTTTTCCGGATACGACGTTAGCAACGAAGTTATCCTGTCTCAACGATTCTCTAAATTTTGAAATTTTGAAGCTTAGAAACGTAGGAACTTCGAAGCTAATTTTGAATGCCTGAAATTTCGTGCGTATGAATATTCGGGAATCTGAATATTTGAAACTTTGAAAATTTGGATATGTCAATATTTGGAAATTTGAATATTGGAATATTTCAATATTAAAAATCCGAGTGTGTCAATGTTTGAAAATTTGAAAATTTGAATATTTCAATATTTGGCGTTTTCGAACTTGGACGTTTTGAAGTTTCTCAATAGCTATGCAAAATTCATTGGTTTTCAGGGGCGGCGATCAAACTTCTGAGGCTAGAAGTGCCAAGTATAGCGGATCCCAGGTTGGATAAAGTGACTCTGAGGTGCGAGTACGATCTGGACGGCCTGGATTTGTACTCGGTGAAGTGGTACAAGGACGGCGCCGAGTTCTTCAGGTACATGCCCGAAGCGAAGCCACAAGGCCGAGACTTCCCCGTCGAGGGCGTCTACGTCGATGTAGATAGAAGCGACTGCAAGCAAGTGACGCTGCTGGGACAGGCGAACACGAGCAAAGGTTGGTTCACCTTTAATCCCCTCGCCTTAATTATTATTCATATCAGCTTGTTTCATAAGTAATGCCCACCATCTAATATCAACCATTAAAGCGTACACCTACAGCAGCAACGTGAAACGAGACGAGTTACATGCTCCCGAAATGTAATTACTTCAAAATTAACAACAATTTTCGATAGAAGTTCACCTTCTTCTAAACTCTATATTAATCGCGATATACAGACGTTGAAGAACAACACTATTCCTACCGCGACCAGTCAAATGTTTTTAAAATTTCGATTAGAATTTCCTATAGACAACGTAATCCAATCGCCTTTATACACGATTTTTCCTAAAATATGTGTATAAAACATTTTTCAATATTCACACCTTTTTTTATTGTTCATTATCTTCATTCTATATTAACCCTTTAACGCACAGTTTTTTTGAAAACAACCGGCCAAAAGAAATCAATTTTGATATGCTGCGCTTTTGTTCCATGGAAAAAGGCTATATTTTATTCTTGAATAAATATGTGTTATAGCTTACAATCCCATGTAAATGAAACGATTAATCAATAAAACGATTTTTTTTCTTTGCTTTCACATTGTTATTTTCACAGTTTGGTCTGTTTAGCGCGCTCGAATTAACTCGAGCGTACAAGTTAAGAGGTTAAAAAATACAAGTTATGCTAAAAACCAGTCGTTTGACTGGTCGCAATAGGAATAGTATTAAAAAGATTTAACACAAACACAGAAATTTGAAATACTTGACGAATATTCATTACTATACGAGGATTAGCTATTGAACACTTCAAACGGGCTCTCAACCATCTGACAAAGCTCCACGTTAAAAGCAATAACCCTACGTACCGTTCAAACGATCTTTTCAAAATTCTCTCTCGCCTTCTCTAGAACTTCTTAAAACAATACAGCAAACGCTAAACATTTTTCCAGCGAGCTCCATGGAGCTCGATGATTCTCTCCTCGGCGCGATGCTCATTGTAAAAAGGGGTAGTTAACGGGGAAAGCAAAAGGGAGGCTCCGGCGCCCCGGCGCAGCCCATTTTAAATTGAAATCGAAATTATTATTCCGCAGTGAGAAAGAAGGCCGGCGATAAAAGTTAATGGACTCGTTAAACCGTGCTTAAATAATGGAGCAACTTCTCGCGGCGCGGATGAGACCCGGCTCTATTAAATTTCTATTCGCGATCACCTTTACACCGGGGCGCTGTGCTTTCTAGTCCTCGCATTTCTCAGCCCCTTAACCCTTCCCGCGGTGGCGTTGGCTTCCTAATCTACAAGTTACCACGGATGTATCGCCGCTTCCGGTCGCGAAGTAGTTCCCGTAAGTTCATTAATTCATTACGGTCGAAAGGGTAGCTGCGCGATAAGTTGGCCACGGTTTCAGTTCGCCCCTTATTCTTTCGCTTGAAACTTTTCGTCGCCCGTAATGGCTGTCTGGAGCACGGTCTCCTGGGCGGGTGCTCGTAAAAGGAAACATAACGCGAGCCCAGCGGCGCTGGAGCCGCGTCAATGAAATCGGGAATCCGGCCATAACGGCCGAGAAATCGAGTGAGGACGGATTAATTGAGCTTACGGCCGCGCCAGCCGTGTATTACGATGTACGGGAACATTTATTCGACCGACCCAGCGGGAATGGAACTTTACAATGAACCGGAAAAATTCGGCGGTTTCGCGAGAAAGAATTTCATTTCGAGAGTTAGAGAATCATCGACGCTGCATTGTCCTCTTATTATGGAGCGAGTGGACTGATCAAGCTAACCCTTTGCACTCGGATGTTTCTTAGTAGAAATATTTGATATTTGTTTATGAGGCAAAGACAATGTTCTTTGAGATAATTCGGGTAATGGAACTTTACAATGAACCGGAAAAATTCGGCGGTTTCGCGAGAAAGAATTTCATTTCGAGAGTTAGAGAATGATCGCTGCGTTGTCCTCTTATTAACACATTGCGTACCGGATAATTTTCAAGAAACTGAATTGTGCAGATGGCAATTCTCACTGAGATCTACTTATATCACCATACATAGAACTCAGATATATTGTTCTGTAATATACTTTAAATAGATAATCAATTCGAATTAGATTTTATATTTTTTCAATGCTGTGGTAATTGGCGAAGTTGCAGAGATAAGTGTCTTTATATAAAAACGAGATTTCTCGTTACCGGTACACAACGTGTTAACGTGGAGCGAATGGACTGATCAAGCTAACCCTTTGCACTCGGATGTTTCTTACTAGAAATATTTAACATTTCTTTACGAAGACGATGTTCTTTGAGACTAATTCGAAGAGAAATCACCAGTACATCGAGGAACAAAGCTGTTCTATTCGAATGTTTCGCGTATCGAGGCATTATACAAAGTTTAACATTAAATATCACAGTTTTTTTTACTGGAAATATTCGAGATTTTCCGACGAGACACAGACGAAGTTGTTTGAACGTAATCCAAAGATGATTCACAGATAAATCAAGCAACAAAGATATTTTACTTAAATATTTCACATAACAGTACAAAGTTTAATTTAAAGTAGTAAATATTTAACCTGATAGTTTTACTGCGTCAAATCAAGCGGTGACTGAGAGTCACTTCACGAGTGCAAAGGGTTAAGGGCAGTTTCGAAGTATTCGTAGCAGCTCGGAGAATCAGGAATTGAACGAAGTATTAAATCTTTCAATTTTGCTCAAGTAACTCAAGCCAACCGTGTAAAAAATCCCGAACCAATTCCCGAATAAACAAACAAACAAACGGTCAAGCGTTATTCCAAACGAGTACCATGATAATTCCTATAACAAGCTTCCTTCGTTGATCCGGCACTTAATCGATTCATTAATTCCCGGGGTGAATTTGAAATTTAAAAAGCACCTCGTCCCGACCCAGTTCGCACCCCTTTGTCCACCGTAGTCTACGAGCAAAGGGTCCGCGCGATTCCATTAGGCTGATGATTCATTCGAAAAAAAAGATCTTCGAAAAACTTCCGGTGTTCCCCGGTCATCCATCACTTATCCGGCGCTAGAGCGTCGAAGACAACGGCCGGACGGGAGAGGGAGGAGTTAGGGGCTGCCGCGAGAGCTGTCTCTGTCGTTACCCGCAACTTTCCTGATCAAATTTATCACGGGGTCGGCCGGCCTCGCCCCGCGTTACTTTAAATATCAATCGTGGCGGACAGTCCGCCGGATGAGGCGGAATGGAGAAAGATATTACCTGTGTGCTGGCTGTGCGACAGGTAAGGTGAACCTCGTGGGATCGTATGGCTGCGAGGTGTCCACCGAGGCGCCGAGCTTTCTGACAATCTACGAGGTGGCGAACATGAGCGTCGCCATACCGCCGAGCGAGCGTCCCAGCCTCCAAGGGCTCCGACCATCCTACGAAGCCGGCGAGATCCTTCACGCGGAGTGCACCTCGGCGCCGAGCTATCCCGCCGCGGCGCTTGCTTTCATCCTAAATGGAAAAGAGGTGAGCTGGCTGCGCCAGGTTTTACGGTAATATATTAGCTACGACGGCAGGCTGCCCGGGATGACGGGACCGTGTCAAAGTTAGTTGAACGCTAGCTGAATCCGACGAGCTAGACGCTTGGACCATGCTACACGATCGCTACGGGCGTCAAATTGGGTTGCGTCTGCTCGCCGGGGATACTTCTGAACGTAACTTTTCATATTTCGTTTGCTTTGGTTGGAAAACTTCATTTCTTCAGATTTTATTCTTTCGGGTAATTTAGTGGATAGAATGATAGAGTAAAGTAGTCTAAATTGAGCTATCGGAGATCGGATGCTTCTGTAGAAATTGAAACGATTACGAGTTCTTTTTGTAGTATTTCAACATTCGGTTCTTTAGATGTTTTCTATAGAAACTGGGTCATTGAAGACTAGAACACTCGTTAACCCTTTGCGGTCAGGAGTATTGGTTTCTCAGTTTGAGGTTCACGACGTTAGTTCATTCAATTACAGCTTAACCCTTTGCCCTCGAGAATATTTTCCTCAATAAATATTCATTACTTTCTGATGAAATGTCAATGATACTTTTTGCAATTAACATCAAAAAATAACTTGCATAAATTAAGCGACAGAACTATTTTATTTCGATGTTTCATGTGTTCGTACGTTATATAAAATTTAATATTGAATTTTCAATTTTACAATTTTCTTGGGTCAAATCAAATGGCGACTGAAAGGCGCCTCTCGAGTGCAAAGGGTTAATATGACGCTCTATTTATTTATTCGAGAATATTTGGGAGTCGTTAAAGTGTTACCTTTAACCTCTTAGGCACGGCTGAATTTTACGCGGGGCTGTTTCTCTGTACAGCAGAGTTCTGTACGGGCAATGCTGTTCTCTACGCGAGTACATTGGAATGAAGTTTTCGATGATTAAATTATAATTTTCCTGAAAGATATGATACACATAATTTAACTTTAACAATTTACTTTAATAATTAATAATACAATTGTGTACGATCTATGATATATTGGTAGCGACGGAGCCACTATAGTGGCGCGTCGTGCCTAAGAGGTTAAATGGGACAATTGTGATACTATAAATATAGAAAAAATTGTTAAAACAGGTAGAAATTGCAATAAAATAGAATGTCTGACTCGACATAGGACTGCTAAGGGTTAAGTGTCTAAAGTTTTGTAGTTTAGTTCTTTGTGTATGGCTTAGCAAGGCTGGTTCGAAGAGATTTAGATGATGCTGCCTGATAAAGGGATTTCAGATTCTTAGGGTATTCGTGTCTCGATCGACAGGTGAGCAAAGGTTCGACGAAGGAACTGCCGACCAGCGGGCCCACGGAGAACAGCATCGTGTCATCGACTCGATTGAGCCTGTCGTTGCGCCTGGAACGACACCATTTCCCTGGCGGTACCCTAAGCCTGACCTGTCAGTCCACCTTACCGGGAATCAAAGGCGCTAGAGCAGCATTGGAGAGGACAGAAACTGCGACGCTCGCTGCCAGCAATCAGCGGCTTGCCCAGGAACCGCCGCGATCCGGCTCCGGTTTCAACATTCCCATCCTGTCTACCATGGTTTGCTGTCTGCTGGCAACCATCAGATCGGTTTCACGCGGTAACGTTTCATTTCTGCATGCATAATCGCCGGGACACTCACGATTATCGATTATTTATCTCGCATGGGACATCATTCAAGAGACACTCGGGCGGTTTTCACCGGATATCTACTAGGAACTAGCTCTTACGGAAATGTTAGACATATTTTTTTATCGATAACCGAGTCATCGAGATCAGGAACAACATAAATCGAGTTTCCTTACTTTAATCGTACGCGTTTGGTTATCGGAATGATCGTTCCTCGTTTCGGAAGAATTCACGAGAAGTCTTATGCGGTCTCTGATCTCGCGAGTTCAATTAACCTGCAGATTTTTATGCAAATATAGATGCTTATGATTCGATCGATCATTGAAATTGGGTTTTCTATTTCAGTCTTCTAAGTTTGCGTTTGAATTGCGTTGAAACCGACATTCTATAAATGCATAAAATCCGCAGTTTAATGATAATGTATATTTAGAAGACGAAAACCCTGCAAACCATTAAGTTCGATATTCCGATAAAGTGACTTAGAGAGTCGTATGATCATCTAGGTTATCGCTCAGCGAATGGCGAATATTCCAGTGACACTTTATATGACCCTATACTTAGATCTCATTACATACTTCTGTTCCAATTAATTAATCTACTGTGCTTTTAACGTACTTTAATTTTCATCTTTCATCATTTGTTCGATTTAGCATGTAAATCGGTGATAATACAACATAACGTCATTAAATATTGCAACGCGTTTGACAAAGCATGTCAGCCAAAGGAAACGACGAATCCTCATCCAGAACATGTATTCTACCTCCATCTACATGTACTCTCCCCCTTTCTCATGCACAAAGGATTACCGACGCAAGAAGCGCACGCCAAATATATTTTTAACAATTACTTTTTACAACGGGCACACGAGAGTCAAGCTGTGTCACTTGAATGACGTTCCCCGTCAGAGAGATCGCGCTTGTTAGCTGGGGAAACGGATCGACTCGACGGTTCAATCGTCGAATCGATCGGTTTCGCTGCCATCTTGGCCCGCCATGTTGCGCCGAAGTTTTCCTTCTCTGACGTCGCTGTGGATTATTATTGCGGGATGTTCGGGCGACCCTTTAGATCGTTCTTTGAAGCATTTAGCGTTGACAGCGATTGGCGCCGGGAATCAACCTTTAACCCAGTAGGTCACGTCCGAATTGCTCGAATTGGAAAACTTTGGCACGATAATGTGCGGTATAAAAGGAATTTTATTAGCTTACTTTCAGCTCTAATTAGAAATTGGAGAATCGTTGCCAGTAAACACTTTGGATTTCGCGTTCTTTTGATTCTTTAACCCTTTGCACTCGAGAGGCGCCTTCCAGTCATTTGATTTGACCCAACGTTGTAAAATTGAAAATTCAATATTAAATTTTATACAACGTCCGAACATGAAACATCGAAATAAAATAGTTCTGTCACTTGATTTATGCAAGGTATTCCTTTATGTTAATTTTAAAAAATATCATTGACGTTTCATCAGAAAGTAATGAATATTATTGAGAAAAATATTCTCGAGTGCAAAGGGTTAAATTAATTTGAAGATTGATTTAAACTTGAAAATGAAAAATTTGGAAATTTAAAAATTAAGTAACTACTGGGTTATCAATGGTTAACGTTAGCGCACGCGAGCATACACACACACACACGCGCGAGAAACATGGAAGAACGCGTAGTGGATCGGTCGCGCGGCGAGAGAGCAAATCGGAGAAAAACACTATAGCAATATAATTTAATCGGAGGCGTGATACGACGTGTTGTACATAGTGTATGATTGTGAAACTAGATTTACGAGTCGTGTAATTAAGAGGGGCAGAAGAAACAGAAACACACAAAACGATAAACAAACGGTGAAAGTACTGAGTGAATCATTAGAGCCGGAGAGGATGTCGGGATCGCCGGCCCTTCCCACGAGTTTCATGTGCGCCCGCTTCGCGTGCACACACGTGATGGTGTCGTGGTCAGGTTCTTATTATACGAGGAACATAAATCCTGCGGGAGAGACGCGGTTCCATTGATTCAATATTTATGGCGTTAAGATAATTGTATTTTTCTCTCGGCAATCTTTTTTGGTGGCGTACAAGAATTTATATATATATATACATATACATATATACATACGTATAAATATATAAATATAAATATATAAATATAAAAATATAAATATAAATATAAATATAAATATAAATATATATATATGTATACACGATGATGAATACGTCATATTTACGTTTTACTGTAATTTTACATGATCCATATCTGATCGTTACGATACGTTTCAAACAATAAAGAGGAATATTGAAGCAATCCTTGTATCATCTTTATTTTAAATTCCACCTGTATATCGATACCAATCGAGAAAGGTAAAGTATACGTTTTCCTATTTAGCGCTCTAAAAAATTCTCCATACTTTTCACCTACACGTTTATTAGTAGAATTTGAACAGGTAAGATATCAGATTCTTTCCACTGCTTTTTCTATTCGCACAAAAACAATACTCCCGTATTTCCGATGGTTCCCCGATACTTGGAAAAATTGTTCCTGCCTCGAGGTCGAGGGAAAAGTAGTAGAATTACTCGTGCTTTGGATATTGCGGAAATCAATGCTTCCCAAAAGCAATCGGCATTTCGTAAGCATCACGGCGGAGCCGACTTCTCTGATTGAACCGGAAGCTCCGCGAAAACACTCCCGGCACAATGCGCTCGCTCGCGGTTTTCCGATACACCCTTCCAATCAGTTTTGCGCTGGATCGTTTTCGCCGGGTAACCGGAAATAAACTCGGTACCCCGGCCACGCAGCATGATCATACTAGATATTAACACGTTAACTGAGCGTTGATTAACCCTCGCGGACCGTTCGTTCGGGGGCAATTCGGCGCGAAGGGAAATTCCAGCGACCCGCCCCGTGGAATACACGTTCCGCGGAATTTCCATCAGGGGAAAATGTGAACGATTACCGTGAAAAATTGCATCAATTACGGTAGTTTGTTCTCGTAAATCGGATCCGTGCTTATGCTTCGGACAACTTTCAATGGGAACTATACTCAATTAACATTCAGCGAAGTCTTTTTAACTCAAACATTCTTAACTTTCAGCTTCTGTAACATAGCGTAACTTCTTTAATATTACAAGTCTCCACTCTTCTAATGTAATCACGCCTCCGTATAGATGTTTCTTGTTAGCGGAATGTATAATAAAATTGTTACCAATATTCTCACGACTCCTTTCTCAACATATACTAGACTATAGATAATGAAAGAACAATACTGAAAATATAATACTTTTTGCAGTATTCACAAAAACCTTTGCTCAATTCCATTTTCACGATCGTCTTAACACTAAAACTACCAGAGGCGTCAAATGACTCATGCCTGTCTTTTTGCAATTATTAGAAAGGTAACAAATGTTTCTCTGAATTATTAAAGAAATTCATTTGGCGCTACGCAAGAATTGTAAATCAAAGTCTGAACAGATGCACTCTTGGAGCTTCTATAGCAAAATATTCAAAAGTCAATTGAGCTCGGTAGTTTTAGAGTTAAAGTATTACAATAATTACTGGTACTATGAATAACAATATCATTATAATTATTCATAATGTTCGGAGTAATAATACTATCATTGTAATTAAAACGATAATACCATTGCAATTCAAGTAATAACGAGAAAACCGTTCGCAATGAATTGCACACGTATGGAATTACGACAGCCCGGAAATCCAAACTTTTTACCGTCGAATTGATAGTAGAAATTGACCCACATCGGTACATCAGGAATAGTCTGGTCCTTCCGGCGGCGGGACTGCAACGTGGCCATAATCGACAAAAGGAAGGTCAATTGACTTTTTAAAATTTCGCTATAGAAACTCAAAGAGTGCATCTGTTCAGACTTTAATTGATTTACAATTCAAATTGCGTAGTGCTAAATGAGTTTCTTTAATAATTTCTCAGAGAAACATTTGTTACCTTTCTAATAATTGCAAAAAGAAGACATCGGGCATGGGTCATTTGACTCTGATAGTTTTAGTGTTAAATAATCGTATTTTCATAAAGAGCCTGCTATTTGTAACATTCCCTGTCTACAAGCAATCCGAGAACCGAGATCTAGAAACGAACGATACCTATATCCGACAATCGTTAGCCCAATCATTTTTCCTATTTCGCGTCGGCGAGGAGGGTCGTATCTCGCGGGCAGGAAGATAAAGGCAATCAGAGATTGCGACGACGAAAGCGATTTAGCGGGAGGTAAACAGTGAAGCAAGAGGAAGGGGCCGTCGAGGGTGGGAGGCGGAGGGAATCTAAATCCGGACCGGAAGGATTCCCGAGGAAACGGAGGCTCGGCGCAAAGTCTCCGCTCCGTCGCTCGGTCCGGCCATTTCGGGGCAGAGGCTATCGGGCGAGACTCGGGCCGGCTTTTCTTCCTTCTCGATTCGATTTCCAGATTAATTAAGGGCCGCTGGTCTGAAAGGACACCCTCGAAATCCTTTCAACGGGGTCGAGTGTCCGTTCCGGCGAAGAGTGTAACGAGGCGCCGATTCGAATCCGTTTCACGAGACACCGACCTCGATAATGACATTTTTCGCCGGGTTCCGGTAAGTCGATCCCCGTACAGCCAACCACCGACCGGCCTGTCGGCCGCGGAACTCGGTTACCTCCGTTAATGAGAAACGACCGTGTCCTCGTCATACGGATTCGTGTTCCCCGCTACTTAAGGGTCTCGTTAATGCCGCGGGAACCGTTTGCACGCGTGCGATCACGATTTTGGGAAATCGGGTTCCGCCGTTTGTTGCGCCCGGTTTTGTATAGAGTGAACTAGGTTGATGGGATTGTTAGGGATCCAGGGCAGTCGAGGGTGAGTTCGTATTAGAGATTGTTGCGAGATGTTTGATAGTCCAGACGTTCAAAGAGGGATTCGGGGAAGAGTGATATCGTTTCACTTGACGGGTTGATTAACCCTCTATGGGCCGAATTTTTGTTCATGATTATTTTTTAAAATAAAGACATTAGGCCACAGCTGGCCCATAAGTCCATATACAATGTTTTATATATATATATGTATAAAATATACAAAAAGAGAAAAAATAAAACTCCTAAGACCTAAAATAGTAAGTATACAGACAGTGTAAGAAAAAATCTTTGTATTCTCTATCACAGCCTTATGTAAACCTGTACTGAGATCAACAAGAGCAACTACATAAAACTAGTTCCTTATATCCTAAGATTATTAATTACTAAAAACTTAGAAACAGCTTTGATGGCACTCATGTCAGGCCCAATCAGAAACGTTTCCGTTTTGTTCATGAATATAACAAAATCTATGCAGTACAAAATTAATAAATACCCACATATGAATACGAATTAACAATGTATTCGATAGTTTCCATAATTTCATCAAACGAATATATTTTGTAACTTTCGAGTTACAATGACGGTAAACTTCCACGTCTGAGCACATGGAAGTTTAAGTTAACGGGTTATTTAATTTCACCACTTTGAGTGCAAAATGAAATAAATCAAAAAGACGCCAATATACTTATATGCGACTTCAAAGTCACATAGGCCTACAGAGGGTTAATTTGTCCAGCTACTCTCACTGGAATAAGCGTGTGTCTTATTTTTTATACTTTCTCTATCCATTTTCATTCCCTACAATTCCACTATCCGGTCCCATCGCTTATTCTAAATACTCCCACTATCCATTTTCATTACTTATTTTCAATATTCCCACTATCCATTCTCATTACTTTCTACGTTCCCATCCTGTTCGTCATCGCCATTCTTTAAACACCCCGTCCCTCACTTAACCGTGAACAAAATCTAATCAGACCCCACCTCCGGCTGCATAGAAATTACGCTAATCCCGTCGCGATCGAATAAAATCCAGAAAATAGGAGCAATTTCTATCGCATTTCAATAATCGCTTTCCTCGTACCAATGGCGCTGCTTCGACCTACATCCTCATCCCCGGCCCTCTTTTTCCATAGAAAAAGGAACGAGCGGAGGTTTCGGTGCGCGTTGATATCTCGAAGACGCTCCGAGGCAGGAACGATGAGAAAGAGAGAGAGAGAGGAAGACGAGAGAGCGCAAAACCCTCCTATTATCCGGGCATTGTTTTATCGTCGTTATGCTCCTGCGGAAGCTCGCGCAGGTATTCCGCACGCCACGGGAAACAACATTGTGTACCGCGGGGCGTGCTCGTTCCTGAGTGCGCTCGCGTTCGCTGTGCCGATTGCGCAAACACGTGTTTGTTTTCCTCGGCATACGGTCCGGGCTGTTTGCGCCCGTCCGCGCGCGCGCGCGCGCCGGTTTTTGCGACGCGTACGTGCACGTACCCTTACGAGGAAGCACCGGGGAACTGATACGAAATCGATATATCGGCGGAGGAACGTGGCGATGCGAGGATAGCTGCAACGACGACGA